CGCTCCAGTATATAGGAAAACACATTTTTCGGCTATTTCATACCCCCTATTGTTGCTCGATTTATTATTTTTAAGTGCAAGTCAAAGGCAACAACTGTTCAAAAACTAAAGTTTCACTGTTTCTAGAGATGTTCGTGAAACAAGCATATGAACTCACAAGGCAGACCTATGGATGAAAATAGGTTTATGTCTTAGGCGGGTCTAAAATGCATATATTCTTTGAAAATAACAAAAATTATTGAAGTTGCAATGAATCACTTATCAGTAGTAGGAAAGTCAAAAATTGCTATTATATTATTACTTTATTATCGACTGTAATATTATTATTGGACTCTCGCCGATGTTGTTCAACTTAGCTTGGCAGAACGTGATAAAGACGAATTTACGTTACAATGAAGAGATGACTGTCAAAATGAATCATAAAACCATTAGATATGCAGATGATACACCTATCCTTAGAAGAAACCAAGAGGGCATTGACTAACACACAAACAATAGAAGCAGAGCAAATCGGACTTCACGTGAATAACAATAAAATAAAATGATGAAGCATATTAGTAAGTTGGAAATTGTAACTCAACTTATAGATCTGTATATAATACAAGTCGTTCCCGAGAAGAGACAGATTCAATTACCTCGGCTCCACAATAATCCATAGACAAGCGCAAGCAAACCGGTCTTTTCTGTTTCAAAGGTTTGAAATCCCAAAACATCCTTAGAAATCTCAAATTATATGTGTAAAAAGCTATGGCAAATCTGATTCTGAAATATGGCTGCGAAACCATAAAGGACACTATCCGATAATCTAGAAAGAAGTATTGAAAGATCTGAAAGGATAATCCTCTTTACAACGACCGAAAATACCTGTGATCAGACACTAACGAATTGAGAAAAAGGACTGAATCACTTAGACGAACTGGTCAAGCAATATATCATGATATGAAGGCAAGGATGTTAAGATGGGCTATTGATCGGTACAATCCAATGACAGTTGACAAAAGACCAAGAGGGAGGTCAAAAAATAGATGAATGGACCAACAAAGATATTGCATGCATATAATTTAAAACCTAATTAGAAGAGATGGAGAAGAATGGTTCAGACGGGGCCAAAGTTCTACAAGGTCTGTAAAGGTAAGAGAAACAAATTGACAATAGTGTTATTATTAAATATATTAATAAAAAAGATTTTTTTAGAAAAGCTATGATTTTATATAATAGAGGATACCGTTAATCAACAAGAAAATAATTTTACATGTTTTGACAGTTACACCTATTAATCTGAACATCGCCCAAGTCTGAACAAATACATCAATATGATGCTTTCCGTTGCAATATAACTTTTAATATATAATGCATTTGATGTATATATAAATACTAATTTATAAAACAGTTTAAAAAATGAAATTTATAGTGTATATACTCGAACGGGGTCTAAGCGAATCCTAATAAGAATGTCGGCAAAACAGAAAGGAATAAATTTTAATTTTTGAATTTGATCGACAAAGGCCTAATCCATATGTATAGAGTAGTTACTAGCTGGCTGAGCTCATTGCAGGGATCACTATGCCATCCATGCTTGGTTTGCATCGCATTTTACGCAGCCGCTGGAAATTACCGCTTAAAACCAACATTCCTTTACTTATTCTTCGTGCTGTTCAAAAAATTATTTTTTAAAATATTTTTGTATGATTAATTGTCTGGAAGTCCTGTTTGTCATTTCCTTCTGGACGGGTCCCGTTTTCTTATAATATCTAAGCGGCATACACTATAATGAAATCAAAATAATTTTTTTACAATACCGGTATCGTTATTCAATAGCCACACCTCCTATAGTCAACGCCGAAAGAAACTATGGCAAAAATAAATTTTATCTAGCCAATTAAAAAAATCATATATTTAATATAAATTTTATACATATATATATATAATATGTAATTCCTTGAAAAAAAAACAAGATTTGTTTCTAGAATAATTTTATAAATTAATTGTTCGTATAATTAGGAAACTATACATCTCCTCAAACATTCCCAATACTTGTTTGAAAGATAATTAAATTGTTCAGAAACCAAAAAAACTAAACATATAAAATTATGTAAACAGCAAGTAAAAAAAACAAATTAATCTTACCAACGATAGGGAAGATACAGCAAATAATTTTTGCATTAGACATTGATGTCCAAATCAGATAACTATTTCCCAAGTAGCATTTTTTTGAAATTTCAACAGAGAAGTCCCAAACAATCGTTAATTCCGGAAGCAAGAACAATTTATTTTTATGAATCATTAAGTAAATGTAAGAACCGAAATTCTCTTTACAAAGATGCATCAAAGGCAGAGTACGATGCGGTATGTTCAGTTATTACTGAAAGCAAATAGCTACTATATAACTTTACAAGCTTTCAGAAGCGTGCTCAGTGTTCCTAGGAGAACCAACTACCATTAATGAAACTTCCTTGTACATCCTCACAGCTTATTTTCAAAACATTCCATTGTAGCCGATTCTATGAGCGTTCTAAAACCTATTATAACCAACATAGAATGATAAAAGAAATGCATTATTTTATACATTAATAAAGGAATGAATGAATTTAATTTTTTTATGGGGAACCGTGCCCTCTTAGAATTATTTAAAAAACATTTGTTTGGAGTCAGAAAAAAAAATTGTGGAATGATTGAATTTTGAAAGTATGAAAAGGTTTATTACAAAATAACGATAAGACATATGGTACTGGTACTGGGTGGAGGGAACTAGTCCGGCAAGTGGGCCTATAGTGGTCCTTTTTGCCAACCCCTGACGGCTATCTTTAAGGTTGCCGCCGCGTACTTAACAGAGTGGGAATGTCATGATCCATTTCCCGGAGCCGCCGAGAAAGAACAGTAACCGACCCAGGTGGGTATCGAACCCACAACGTTCAGGATCGGGCACTCTGGAACCCACGCCCCAACGTGCTCGGCCATCCCGTCCTCACGACAAGACATAAGTTAACAAATCAAAATTTCAATATTGTGCATATACACACATATGAATAGATTGATAATATATATATATATATATATATATATATATATATATATATATATATATATATATATATATATATATATATATATTTAGATGTTCGAACCAACATATTATGAAAATAATAAGCAATTTGAAAAAAATCAAAAAATTAGAAGACCTAGAAGAAAAAATACTGATATTGACACATAGTGAATATACACAAAATTAGAAAGATTACAACTTGATATTTCAGGTTGGTTATGGATGAACATATACTGGAGAAAAAGGTCTTATCCTTAGGAAGGAAGTAACGTAAATAAAGTTTTTCTTTTAGTTTATAACACTATTTTCATTGCATTATTTTTACTTCATACTATATATCATATAGTTGATATTTGATCATGTTAATAAAGAGTATTCACTCGCTAAATATAATATTCATCCATCCGCGATAAAGACAACCCCAGATAAGATCGTTCAAGCTCACACTATAATGTCAGCAGATGATACTCCGCTATCAGCACAACCATCACCTGAGAGATGACTTCGCGTAGGTGGCCAGATTTACGAGCCACCGACCAGTTATATTCCTGTTGTCGTTTCAGTGAAGAAAGTGGTTTATAGCATGTCATCTGCTGTCGGTACTTTCTATCGGCGATGTTCGCTCTACATCTCGACTGCTTAATTTTATTCGGTTCTGTTGTTTCCTAACTAAAGGTGAAGTTAGATTATAGGCAATAGCATCACCAAATATAGAATCCATTGTTGGAAAGTATTCGTAATATACTTTCCATAAGAATATATGCAATTCTTGTAATAAATTCCTAGTCCAATTTGTGGAAAAGAATTTTTTTTTTCGTTTGCGTATCACTTTCGTTCTTACTGACTTTGGGAATATCACATGATGTCAGTATTGAGATAAAGCTGCAGAGTTTAATAAAATATAGGAAAAGTTCCACAACTTAAACTTACACTTAAACTTTACATAATATTTTAAAATGAAAATATAGTTTCTGAACCACTGTGTGTTGATTAGTGCTTAGGTATAACAATAGGCAATTAATAATAACGAAACTTAATAAATCAATAGGTTTTAATTTTTTTAAATATTGCAATGTAAAATAAGAGAAAAATCAATGAATTTGATTGAAAATCTACTACATTTTATTTTTTGAAACCGGAGTCTTAGTCTCTTCCAGATAAATAAAATACTACTGACAAATGTAAAAATAAAAATTTGAATCATTTTAAGAGTATGTTATTTTTCTTTTTTGTACTCTTTGTAATAAAAATTTGAAGCAATGATTCGTTGTAGAATTTCTCTCGATACTTAAACATTGTTGCATTTAATTATTTTACATGAGTCTATATCATTGTTTTGAGGTTGCATCATTGTTTTGAGGTTGCATTGTATTAGTTTAGGTCAAACACCTAAAAAAAAAAAAAAAAAAAAACGCCTCGTCAGGAACACACAAGTTAGAAAAAAGAAAATAACATTCTACGACATAATATTTTAAAATCGATAGGTAAATTACATGTAAATATGTAATGATCTCTTTTGTATTGACGTATACATTGTAAAAACATATTTTTAAAAATCAATTTAAGAGACAATATATAAAAAAATTGATTTCGAATTAACATTTAAATTTAAATGATGTAATTTCCAAACCAGAAATCTTTGAAGTTAAATTTCGCAAACCTTGTATTTTTTGCGCATGATTATCTATAGTTTTTGGAGTTGATTAATGTTTATTTTTCTTTCTCCTTCATTACTTAATTTGACAGTAATTTTTTATTTTTCGACATTCATTGATAACAAATTATTGCTGCAGTTATTATATGTGTTTAATATGGTAATTTTCTAAATAATAGATAATTAGTTATGAATAGCAATAATTTATTAATAATGTTCTTTATTTATATTTATTCACCCTCATTGCCTCCTTTTACTTCAATAAAACGGAATAGCAGACATTGCTGCTGATAAGATACATACTTTTTACCCTTTGCCAGGTGATTCTTGTTTTTGGCTTTCTTGTGCCTTGCCCTGTTTTTCTGGTGCTTTCCGTGTCTCGTTGCTCTCCTGTAACATAATATTATCTAATTTATCGTATTTTATTAATTTTACTTCTATATTTTAAGTGTATTTAATTAAATATTTAACGTTTTTCATATACTATAAATATTTGCTCATACATATAAACTTTTATTGTTGTGACTTTAATTCAGTGATTGGTAAATGCTATTCTGAGTACCGAGTAACTAGTATTTTACTCAAATCGAATCACTATTCGAAATTCAATCACTATTTCAGTTAATCTTTTGACATCAACTGAAGTTTTGGAAACATATTTTGGAAGAGTTCCCTTTTTATACCGCAAGATTAAAAGGTCTCGGAATACCCCAGAACATATCAGCATCCCTGGGAAATCAAGAAGAAATACTTACAAAAGTTATTAAGTTGCTAGACAATGAAAAATTATAAAACATATATAAAAAGTTTAAAACTAATGCTCCTTTGCAATTTTTTTTATTTTTTTTTATTTTAGAAGTTCATTGATTTATTAATTTATTGATTTTATTTCTATTTTTTTTTTTAGTTTATTTATTTGTCTCTTCTGTCTTGTTATGTATAAGTGTCTATTATTATCATTATTTATTTAATTCTATTAATTCTTTTATTTTTTTCTTTATTTAAAAAATTTATTTTATTCTATTAATTGTTATTTTTTTTTTTTACAACCACCTGAACTGTACAAAAGTTGTGTTATTTAGTTGATCAGGCGCTGATGACCTGTGTGGTTTCATCGAAACATCGAAACATTGATCGAAACAAACAAAAAAAAGATCAACTGAAGTATTAATTGAATTCTTTGGTACTAAAAAAAGGTATTATTTGTGTTCAATATTAGAATAATATATTATTATGAGCACTCAGCACTAAGAGAAGCAATGGCCCTTCTCTGCTTCAATTTTAAGACATTATATACTTTTGAAAGGTTTATATTATTACGAGCATTCTAAAAACTAAGCGCATTTTTTTTATACCATTTCATTTTATTACTTTCAGAATTTTACTTCTATAATTTGTTAATTATTAATTATGTATCTTATTGGGGGGAAATATATTCTATCATAGGGATTTTAAAACTGATACTAGATCATTAACTGGATCATTCAACTCATTGTTGAAAAATATATACAATAAATTTACCTGTAATAGTGATGAGTTTTTAGCTCGTTAGCTCGTAGAGCAAGTACGGTTATATTTAAAGATAGAATCCATAAGAAGATGATGCCTGAACCTCAGGTGTCATATATCATCATACCACAATAGCCGATTGATTGATTTTTTAAGTTGATTTTTCAATGGAGCAAGGTTGAATGTTTGTTTCAGGGAACATTCCTTATTACTTTTCTTTAGAATATGGGTTTGAAATTTTGATTTATTCAGCTATAATAGTTTGCCATTTCATTGTTTAAAACTTTGTCGAATTTATTATATGGATTTTTTGATGGTATAAAAAAATATGTCCAACCCAAAAGCTGAGCGTCTATTTCTGGTAAAAAAAAACGCTGTCAAAATTTCCTAAGTTTTACATGAATAATAACTGTGAATGACGGCATTGAAGAAAATTCAATTGGTAAAAGACTAAATTTTTTGTCAATTAAACCCATTTGCAAAGATCGTAAGTTGTGATTCACATTAATGTGGAACGATTCTCTTAAAGTGTCTATTACCTTATATATTTTTACTTGATATGTATAAAAACAAAATAAAAAAATAATTACACATTCACAATTAACATCCCGTGAACTTATGGTAGAGGTAACGAGCGGTGATTCGAATGGTGGTGAAGGATGGAATGAAACGGCTTCCTTTCACATGGAATCAGACGGTTGTTACATTGATTCACCGATAAAATTTTTATATTAGTAATTAATACTTCTGTTGATTGTTAAAACTAAATAAATGAACATCAAGTACCACGAAACAATCTTAATTTAAACATTTTTTTTTTTAAAGAATGTATTCAACTCCAATCACAATTCAGCAATAGTTTTCTTGTGTTGTATGAGCTTCAAATTATAACTAAGCAAAATAAAATCGAATAACTTAATATAATATATTTTCCAACTGCTTGGAAGTACGTTTAAATATATCAGTCCTAGATATATATGTTGTTTTCAATACATAGAATAATTTCCGTATAAAACATCTGATCGGTCACTAAATGGTTGATGGCTATAATATAGTTTCTGAGGTCATCCTGATGTGATCTGAGATACTGGAAGGTGGATGGCAGACAAACAGATTTTTAAAATTCAATTTTTTGGTTTAAGCTGTTTTGAAAACTTAAAACCAAGATTCATTTTTCTGGGCAACCTAAAATATTAACTGAACCAAGTGGGAATCGACCCCACTACGTACAGAGCTGACAATGTTGGATCCGCGCAAGAACGTGCCCGCCCATCACATCCTCGTAAAAATATATAATTACTACGAATATAAAAGGAATATAATGGCAGCAATAAATAAGAGATAGACAAAATTCAAATCTTTCGTGTAAACTCTCTGCTCACTATTAACAGTGTCTATTATTCTGGTAGAACATAACATTACTCTATAAACCTGCGCCCCGGAGGTAAAAAACTGCATGTCCGTTGTTGTATTTGTTCAAGAGAGCCAATTCTTCATAACTTTGAGCTATTAAAGTTTGTTTATTTGTTACTAAATCGGTTCTCCGGACCTAAAGGATACCGTGTCATATTTTCGCATTCGATCGAGAAACCAATTTCCACAACTTGGAGCAATTAAAATTTGTTTCTTAGTTACTAAATTATTTGATAACAAAATAGACATGGTGTCCTTTATTTACGGAGCACAGAAATGTTTTCAAAGATAAAAAAAGAAAAAAGAAAGTAAAAGGGATCATTTAAAACTTCTTCATATGCAACGCTAATATGTTACCATTATCGTTATTTTATTTTTATACATTATGCAGATTTTTTCTAATATTTATTATAATAATAATCATTCCTTACCACAATAGTCGAAATTTCAAATATTTCCAGCATTATCACAAATATCACAGATAAGAAGACGAAAAAATCTATAGGGGTCTGAAAGAAGAAACAATGTTAACAACTACGAGTGTGTGACCATTGTCCAGGTAGCAACATCTGGTGAACATTGTCCTAACGATTTCCACAGTCATCTGTGCCTAGTTTGCGGCTAACTTGAAGTTACCGTACAGCTAGCATGCCTCTTCAACTCAAAGTGGTTATTTCTAATATAATTCAAATCATTTTTTTTTCTTTTATTACTGATGGATAGCACAGTCGAATGGATGTAATCATGAACATTAAAATGGTTATAAATTAGTTTCGAAGTTGAATAATTCGATCATTTTGGTTTATTATTTTCAATAACCAACCTTTGTAATCGATCAAGAAAAAAAAAAAAAATTAACCCCTCTCAAAATTTGACCTTTCACGTTTCAGGACAAGAAGAATCCAAAAATAATATTTAAAAAAATCCGTCATACGCGATAGTCCGCGATTTTTCTTCGAGACTACCGGCCCAAGATTTAGTATCAATGTCGAACGGCTAACCTTAGATGATCCTCGGAACTCTGCATTACCGTTCAACCTTTTTCTTTTAAGATGGCAATAAAAAAAGCGTGAGTTGCTATAGACTATACCAACAAAGTGTCTGTATCTATTTTGGTGAACCTTGGCTCAAGTCTCCTCTTTCGAAGCACTTTAAATTTTTCTGTATGAAACACTTCACCGAAAAGAAGATTGAAAAAAATTTACAAAGGATGGTAAAATTAAATTTTCGAATAACGCAAAAAGTATCCCCTTTTTTGTAATTTTTATAACAGGGTTTTTCAAAGGTATCTGAATTTCCCCTAAAAAAAAATCACCGAAATCAGAGTACCAATAGACGATTGCGGTTTCTAATTATATTTGGTTTATTATTTTCAAATTACAAATTTGATCTTTTTAAATATGTATAGTTCGAACTTTTTTCATATTTTGTCTCATCTCCCTCTTTCTCTCTCTTTTTTAATTAAACACAATATGAAAAAAACCGTTAATTATTCGATTAATACTATTCCAACATATAATATTTTATTATAGTGATAAAACAACCTATTATATTTATTCTAAATAATTATTTTCCTAGTTAATATAGCGAATAAAACGTGAACGTTAACTGGTAGATTGTTAAAATAATTACATAATTTTTTGACAGGACATTCCTTCCGTTTACATTCTCCCCTGTATAGCGTAATTCTCCCCTGGCAATTGTACATACGCTTTAAATAATTACTCGATTTTTTTTTTAATTTGTTGATTTTGCCTCTACCCCTAAGGGTCATTGGCTTAATGTTTCCATTTTATATTCTTTGATAAAAGTGAATATTTTTTAAATATTTGAACAGTTTTTCTATTTCATTCTCTCCATCTTGCAGAATTTCATTCATTTATGTTCCCATTTGAAATTGTTTCCTTATATTAGTGTACCTTCTACATTCTACTAATATATGTTTTACAGTTCTGGGTACTAGGCAATGTGTGCAAGTTGGAGCTTCTAATCCTCGGAGGAGGTATCCATGGGAAAACTCACAGTGCCCAATTCTTAGCCGACATAGTATCACTTCTTATCGTCTAGACTTTCTGTTTGATGTGTTCCATTTGATACATTTTGTTTTTATTTCCTGGAGTTTTGCCGAACTCATTTCCCATTCAACGTTCCATTTATTTTGAAAGGAGCAGGCAAGTTGGTGTGTCCAATCTTCTCGAGGAATAGCATCAATTATTGTGGTTCGTGCAGTTCCTTGACGCCGGGCAGGGTTGGCAGCAGCATCGGCTCTCTCGTTACCCAGGATACCACAATGTGATGGTGCCCAGATAAGGACTATGTTTTTATGTCGTTCCTTTAGTTCACCATATATGTTAAAAATTTCTGTTATAACCGGATGCTGGTTCGTTGATTGTTCTATGGCTTCTATTACGGACATTGAATCGGTTACGATAGCATGGTGTTTTAAGTGGTTTGTGCGGATGTGCAAGAGTGCTTCTTTTATGACCGTGGCTTCTCCCGTAAATTACTCGATTTAAATTCCTCACAAATTGTGAAATGCCTCGAATAAATAAATGTTTAAATTATGTTTTTCTGAGCTGGTTTTAAGTTTCTTATTATTAGTCAGGCTTACACATTAAACTCATTTTTCTAATAGTCTCGAAAATCAATATGATAAAATGACTGTGGACTCTTCAATTTTAAGTTAAACATTTCCATTTTATTCAAAATTCGAATTTTTTGTCAACTTAAAATTTGTTGATAGTATCCTTCATCTATGTTTCGTGTAACTTTCTAAAATTCACTAGGAAGTGACAATCAACACCTGGAAGGCTTTTTAAAATGGGTCTGTCAGGTGACGCGTTGACAAATATTTTTTTCTTCATGTGAATATCGAAATTAGCTCATATAGTTTCTCGATAATCATAGTTTTAGAACCTGCTGATCAAGATGTACAGCAATGTTAGTAAATCTGGGTCGTGGCAGCAGTAGGAAGTGAGAAATCAGCAACTTTTTTTTGGAGGAGGTGGAGGAGTTATAAAATAAAAAAAAACAATACTGAGCAATGAATAAATATATTTTCAACTTAAATATATTTTAAATTTGTTATGAGAACAAATATTTAATTACATCATTTGTGATTTTACCCTATTATCGTCCTGTGCCATGATTGTGACCTAAATATTTTAAATGAAACATAAACTAATTTTGATCTTTTTTTTTTCCATGACGAAGATTGAGCAGTCTAAAAGTGCAGTGTAAGGAGATATAAAAGACTGAAATAGAAACATTAGCAATCGTAGCATGGTGTGATGAAACAGAGACGGCCGTAAATGTTCGGTACGTGTCAAGTCATCCACTTCTTGTTTAGCGATGGTTGTTATCGCCGGCTCTTCTATGGCCAGTTTATGGTCCCAGGTCGTCTAATGACGGTCCGAGGCTCGTGTTGCTCTCTTGTTCTCCACTGAGGGTAGTGGAACTACAAGCTCATATTGTATTTATTTATCTAGAAAATGTCTTAACGCAGCATGTTGTGTCTGGAATGATTTAATCAAAGAAAACAAATAGTTGTAACAATAAAATTTTTATTGATTCTGACTCGAGAACATTTTATTTACAGCTGGCTTCGAGTATCGTTCTTTTCTAGAATAACAGAAGGTACCCATACAATTTGTATTGTAAACGTAGCATGATTTTTAAATTCAAAACAAAAAATATTTTTAAAAAATTAATGCTGCAAGACTATAAAGATGAAAACTGTAGACATTGTGCTTCTTAATTAAGAATAAATGAGAATGCTTTCTAAAATGGTCACAAATTTAGGTATTTATTAAAGTGTTATCGAAGTAATTTATACATTTTTATTTTAAATTTATTTACAGTAATTTTTAATTATGTTCATAATATACAACAAGTAAAGTTAGAATATACAATAAAACATTAAATTACTGTTGAAGGAACTACCCACTGGCAGTACTTCAATATTCTCCCTAAGTTAAGGTCTCACGGTCATCTCCTTTTCAGATTGCCTGGAAGGGTTACCAAGGATGGATTGGGTTGACAGATCACGAACAGATTAGGAGAATTATGGAGTTTTGATTCGAAGATGCATATATATATTTCGTCGCGAATCTGTAACAAATGGTTGATTTAGAATTTCCAATTGTAGGGGTTGGATGGTAGAGGATTTTAATACTTTCGTGGTGACACAAAACTCAAAATCGTATGTATAACTATGCCAGATAACGGTATTGTAAATATGCTTTTTGTTTTATATCTGAAGTTTCGAGAATTAGCCAAGTTAGTATTATTAGTAGTCGAAATCTATTTGAAATTTCTTGGCGTTCAATCATTAAAATATAAATTTCAAATTTATTTGAAAGGAGTTATGGAATCGTACGGTAGTGCCTGCTTTACACAGTAAAATAATAAGAAATAAGAAATATATAATAAAAGTTAAAATATTAAATCATATAATTTTATTCCTTATATTTTCTCCAAGAATTAAAAAACGTAAACACGTTGGATATAATCGATTTCATGTTGAGTAAAAATAAATACAAAAAACAAATCAATGTCTGAAAACAATATTTACCCCGCACAATCTCTATTGCCATTGATTATGTTTGATAAGGTGCTACAATTCACTGGTATGCGTCTACTCATGGTGATTAAAGTGACACTAAATGTGACCCAACGACATGAACTGTTATCTACAAAGTAAAAACTATTGAGCGATAATATTGCCAACAAAGCAAATATCGAATTCTTTACTGTGACAGATATAATATTTATTTTTTTTAAACTCGATTCTTCAACTCACACCTGTCAGAAGTTCCGACAATCAGCGAGTGTGATGTCAAGATGTAGAAGATTGGTCTTGGAATAGGCATGAGGGAGAGGAGTACCTAGCGGCGTCCTTCCTGTCTTGAGTGTAATATTTATAGTTTGTGGAGGAGATCCCTCATCCAGCTTCTTTTAAGCCTCCTTCGGGTACTATCGGACATGCTAGCCATGCCTCGAATCAATGAGTTTGTATGTCCGTGTAAGTTATTATGAAATCTTTTGTAGTATGTTCGGATGTGGTCGATAATTGTTGGCGTCTGTAAGTCTTTATGTAGAGTAATGTTACTGACATACCAGGGAGCCTTGGTGATAGTCCTGAAAGTTTATATTGAAAAGTGTAATTTTCATATGTGAGTTTTTTTGGCTGTCCCATATATCTGTGAAGCGTAGGTCCAAATATGCTAACTATAGGCTAATAACTAATTATATATTTCACTTCTATATGCTCTCTCTGTTTTTTTTTTCAGTTTATATTGAATTACCTATGTAAAGTCTCTCATTTGGTTCGTCATTTTTATACTGTTGATGTCATATTTACTGTCATTAATGTGCATGTAATCTATATTTCCCTGTCTTAAAGGTCCATGAATAGCGATGCGTTCACTGATAAGTTTAGAAATTTTCCAATATAATTAATACATTATTATTTCTTTCAACACTTCTATTAACCATATTGTAATTGTTTCATGTTAAAGGGACGAATATACAGTACTTAAAAAGGAAAAAGAAAAACAATATTTGCTTTCAATCATGTTTATTTCAATATGAAAATAGTTCTTGACTGATCCATAGGACAACAGTTTTCCAATAATTGTAAATTTAGCTCATTGTCTATTTGGCGCCAGTATAAATGGCATATGTTTAATTCTATTTTGACTTAAACTCGGAAGACTGACACTTATTTTCTATAAAGTGGATACTCAGTGTGTAGGAGGAAAACCTAACAGTGAACGCAGTGATTGCCTGATCACCTACTTGGATAAACCATTGATCGATTATTACATCCTTGTCAACTAATGTACTACAAAAACCCGTCATGGGTTGGAGTGGTACAGGTTTTTCAGAATTTTTTTATGATTTTATTGAATAACTACTTTTTATGTCTATAATAAATGTAGTGTTTAGTTAGATTTTAAAACAAATTCATTATACTCTAGGTTGTTTAAATAAAAATTACTACATTAAAGACTTGACTTTTCAAAACATAAAGTTTTGAAACGTCAGTATGCCTGTTCTCGACTCAACAAGACTAGTGTTGCCCAAAATCGGTCTTGGTCTTGCACTTTGCCAGACCAAGGCCGCCTAAATGTTGCAAGATACCAGGACTAGTAAAATAAATCGATTTTTTAAATAAAAATTAAGGCCAAATAGTTGCTAATACTCGAACATTTTAGTGACTATATGTAAAGAATTGGTATAACCAATATGCTTTTGCATTTAATTTGTCTCCAATTTTTCATTCGGGCTTAGTTAGGTATCTGCTATCTAAAAAATTACAGTGATATCTCTATTGTAATAAGCTAATAAGTAACTGCAAGACTCTTACGCAAGACCAAGACCATGACCAAGACTCAGTTTGCAAGACCAAGACTCTTCTCGGTCTCGCATTTGGGCAACACTAAACACCAATAATTAGAACTTAGAATGTTACCTTATCCTAAGGTGACGAACATTGGCTGAACGACAGTCTCTTCGGGCTTCCGTCACGTTGGCCGCTTCCAGAACACCCTCCAGTTCGGGGCCCTTGGAAGTCTCGCAAGCCAGGGGTTCCCCGGAACCGGAGTAAAGCAGCTGAAGCAGCGTCCCGCCGTCCCAGACCTGTCTGAGGGTCACGTCGTCCCTAAAATTAAAAAATAAAATTATTCTCTGATTTAATTATGTTTTGCAATATAACAAGTAAATAACTAACAATGTTATTAAATAATGAAGTATTAATTTTTTTTTATTTGCTACTAAAATAAAGTGAGATGCTTATTGTGTTTGGTGCGGTGAATGGTGATATCTCAGTTTTCCTGTGCTGCAAAACAGGAAGAGCTGTACATCTTTTATGCGCAGATATATCTCAATAAGTAATATTGAACATACAATTTATATTTTATACCTTCATTTTTTTTTTTTATAAAGAGCCAAAGCGAACTTTGGGCTGGACCCCCAGAAAGTCCCTCCTTCACCCATGCATTTTAACCGAATAGTAAACCTCCCCTCTCCCTCCCCATACCGTATAACGCCCAACTACTCCAGCGGTCCTAACGACCCTCTAATTGCCTTAGTATACTGTTTCATCTCTTTCATCTCAAGTCCTCAACTATTTATGAAGTCACTTCGACCTTCTGTAAGTGACACATCTGCTCTGCGCAATGCCTGTAGCAATCTCATTATCATATGTCAGTTCCTGGTCGGATCCTACCTCTAGCATCATCACTAACTTCTATTAGTCTCTTTTAAACTGCCATAGGACCAAAAAAACTCAAATGAACATTTCACAAACATTCAAACACTACAAAGTTCATCCTAATAAACTTAGACGTGTCTAGCAGACTAAACTCGAGCAATATACACCGAGTACTTAGAAGGATTGGGATAAGAAATTTTAGTTAAGTAATAATTCAAAATAACGTCCAGAGGAGAAACCAATGTGCTCGTTTCTTTCACGCTTCACATATAAGGTTTTATTTTTCCAGGATTACGGTTTGATTAGAGATTCAGGAATGCAGTGAAGCTACACAATCCTATGATTATCGATAATCGCCATTACATTGAATTTCGATTTGCTCATTCGAGCTTTTTTAACTCTCGATGAACTTGGGCACTTGCAGTGGTTGGCTTGATGCTTCGTTTCAGGATCCGTCAAACTGCATTAAATAAAAACAACATTTGCGTCTGTTGGAACTGTTAAAGAGAAAGCGGTACTCGTTTTAAGCAGTTGATAAAAGAAGACTTTCAGTAAAATTTCAGACTATATAAAGTTCGTATAGAGATTCAAGAGAGACATATTGAATATTATATATGGGATATATAGTAGGGATATATTGAAGGCGATAATTTTTTTTTAAAAACTTTTATTGAGTATTAATACAGTCTGCCACACTGAAGGGCATTGGTACTAGGGCTATAATATTTATTCACACAATATGTACATAAGAAAGGAAGAAAAAAAAAAAAAAGAAAGATAAAGTAATATACAAGATAATTAAAACAACAGACCAGCCGAGTAATAACAAAACAAATAAAACACATTCACACCTATGTACATTGGCCCAGGGGACTCCGAATCAAGCTTTGTCCCCCAACTGTGGAAGCCAAAGCAGGACTCCTGGAGATCCCAGTGCTTCTCTCCCAGCCGCATCACTGGTATAGTAAGCCAGTGGAGGCTGATGGAAGGAAGGCGATAATTAGTCAATATGTATGAAATCAAAATAAAAATGTTTTGCAGCATCTCTCTCGTTATTTAATTATTTATTTACGTTCAATAACCAAAACAAAACGTAACCGTTTCATTAATGTATTCCATCATTCTTGAATGAATGGTTTGCTTTATTCACCAACCCATCAGAACATATTTGGGTCATTACCGGGTCTAAAATTCAATAAGGAAAGAGAACGTACTATTATAATATAATATCATGTTATAGAAGGTTTTTAATAATATGCTTTCTTTAACGAGGTTAACTATACAACGAATTGGTAGGCACCTAATCAGTTTTGGAACCCATAGACCTTATAGGGATAGTGCAAATCAATCAGACATGATTTTCGCTGGATGAGGACCTTGCAATTTGTAGCCGTTCCGCCGATTCACCTGTCAGCCGACCCAGAAGCAGGAAGGCGCTCCGGCATTGGCCCCATTCCTCTCCGTTAATAAGGGTCATGATCGCCTTCAGTTCGCTCGATTTATAATTAGTCACTCTCCTAACTGACTCGTCTTGCTAGTTCTCGTTCAAAGGGAAAACTATAAAAGTAGAAGTTGGAAACATACCAGGATACCAGAGCATTCCGCTAAAATGGCATGCAGCAAGGCCTTTGACTACAATGTTCAAAGATGTCTAAGATGTCTTGCCAATTATAATTCCCATTTTAGAAATGGAAAATTATATTTTTGGTATACATTTTTTTTGTTTATTTATTTTAATGAAATTTACAACTGTATTACATGAAAAATACAACAAGTAAATGTGACATTGGTAACATGACATATACGACATGAAGAGAAACTACCCTTTGGTACAACTCAAATATAAAATGTTGATTATAAAAGTCTTAAAAGTTATTTATTTTCTTCTAGGGAAAGACAGAGCAGAGAACCCATAAGTTTTGTATTTCTCATTAAGACCATTAAAAAAAAAAAAATGAAATCAACATATTCAAATATTATTATGTTATTTTCGTTAAAAATTAATTTGTATGGTACATATTATTTCTAAAATGAGTCTTCGTTTCGGTACGTAATAATTATCGTTTATTCCATATCAAATCCGATGATTGAGCCGTCATTGTGAAGATTATCTTTTCTTTAGCACATAACCAAAAAGTATGCGATTCATGATTTTTCGAAAGGCATCTAAATTATTTTTAAAAAAATCAAAATCAATAAGAAATATGTCCGGTATGATTTTGTTAAGTTTTCGTTTTTATTCTTTTTTTCGGTTTATATTCCTTAATAGAGCTTTATAAAAAAAATTAAGTATATTCATAATTAACAACTGAAATATTTTAGGAGATGTATAGCATTCAATTATTTAGTGTGAATGTTATCCTACCTCACTATAGCTAATGACCAATTGACAGATTGTTGTGATGCTCAATAATCAAACAAAAAAAAAAACTTTTTTTTAAATGAATAAAATGTGAACTGGTATTTATTGGGTACTGAAACCAACTCAGTATTGCACTAGCTTCATATTTTATTATTTATTATTAATATATTTTAGTTTATTTGAAAAATCAGCAAAGATATGCACTACTCTACTTTTACACACGTCTTGATTTTTTTTTATAACTGTAATCGAACGAGGAAAATAGAAATTAGTTCTTACATTTCATAATACGTTTCATTAACTTAAGTTTGTTACAGAACATCAAGTACTAAACTTGATCACATCAAAATTTCTGGGGTTATTTAAAGTAACGAGTAAAATTTATTAGAAACCTTTTTATACAAAAATATTGTGGAGTTATTTTCACTATGGAACGGTCTTGAATTTTTTTAATAAAATATATGATTATATTTAATTAAGTACATTGATTTTAAATGAAATAGATTATTTATTTTAAATTAGAAACTCCTTTAAGTATTTACAGTATAGGTATCTACAATAGTTGCTATTGTATTGACTGTAGTTACAACAGTCATATTAAAAATCAACAACCATTTACAAAATAAGGAAAAATACCAAACAAAGAATTTTGTTGCATGTGTTCTTGAAAATGGTTATAACCTTGAATTTGTATAGTTTTATAACGCTAGGCTGTATTTAGAATATTGTATGTTTCTAATTATTCAGGTTTAAACTGTTTCATTGCATATATTTAGTTTACTTACACACCATATTCACCTCTATTGAATTCGATAGAGTTTATTAATTTACGTTATAATTATGTAATTATATATTATATTAAATTTGGTTGTTATATTTTTATTTCAATGTAATTGATTATTGATGAATTTAATGCTGGGTACTGAAAAACTATCTGGAGCCAGAGTTCTCAAACCGCCAAGCAGTCGGAAATCGGGGCATACTAATAATATAAATTTATTTTTTATAATTTAAAGAAAAGTCTGCTATTTTATAGTTTTAAATTAATTACATATAACCTATAACATACAGGCTTGTATGCCTATTACAATTAGATGCGGGCAAGGTTGTGGTAGGCCATGCATTATAGGCGTCTATTCCTGACCTAGAGACATTTAGCAGTCCTCAGTCCAAGAATAGAAGGCATCGGACCATCCTTTTTTTATGGCCCCTTTACGAAGTGTTCGGACTTTTGCTAGCGTTATCCAGAAAATAAGCTAATTTGATTGGAGCTTAGAAAGAATTATTCATGATTAAGTATTACCTTTTTTATATGAATTTATTAAACTCATATTTTATTAATTGATACTATAAATAAGCGAAAATTATTCTAGATGTAAATAGACCACGTTAAAAAAAATATATAATTACTTAAACTATTAATCTGGGGTACTTCTATTTTAATTACGTATTGTCTTACGTCTCTGTCAGTTCGTAATTATTCTAATAACCATTCGTGTTTTGCATATTTGCACCTAGTATTATTGGTTTAAATCCCGGCAATTTTCTCAGCACATGATGTAAAACATCACCTGATGCAATGACGTAGACAGCAATTATTACTTTTTTTGCATGAACGATTAGTTCCAACTCTTAAAAAAAAATTAAAGAAATGTATATTAAATAAAACTGAATAAATAAACAAATGGAAATATAAAAGTTACGTATAGCGGTAAAAGTGACATAAAAATACAATTCAGCTGTAATTGCTAAGAATTCATTTATTTATTTTAATTGATTAATTTCTTTAATTAGTTTACTATCAAAATTTTAATTAATTATTTCTAATTCATTTAAATGAGTAATAATAATTATAATCTATCTCTAAGTTATATTGCTTTGAATTCATTAAAACATGTATCTTTCTGTATATCTTTTAAGATTAGTATTTCCAAATTTTTATTTTCTTTAAATTTATTCATAGATAATGATACGGAATTTTCGTATTGACCATTGACCAGGGCTTGGAATTAAATTATAACTTATATTTTTAATAATTTTTGGTATGACAGTAATATTAAACAATATCTCACTGAAAAAAAATGTC